GGCGCGGCTGGCGGCAGCCAGGGCGGCGGCGGGCTGTGTGGCGGCGGAGATGGCTGTCGCGGCGAGGGTGGAGTAGGGCTGGGGGCGGAGGTGAGCTGAGCGGCGGAGAGGGCTGTCGCGCCAAGGGTAACGGCGGGCTTTGAGGTGGAGGTCTGGGCGGCGGAGACGGCGGCGGCGGCCTTGAGGGTGGCGGTGGACTATGCGGCAGAGGAGAGTTCGGAGGCGGCGGCAAGTGGGGGTGGCGAGGGCGGCGGAGGCGAGGGTGGTGGCGGCGAGGGAGGCGAGGGTGGCGGCGGCGAGGGCACTGCCCACCGGTTAGCCCACCAGCCGGGTGCAGCACCACTCGCGCCCGTGTAGAGCCGCCGGTCGACGTAGCACCACTCGCGCTCGCACTAGCCGCCGGCCGAGGTGCAGGGCTGTGACTTCACGACTACCCGGCGGCGCCGCTCAGGGGAGTACCTTTCTGTACGCCGTCAGCCTCGTAGGCAAGTCGTCGCCACGCGGAGCGCGCTCATCACCTACGGCCCCAACGACAGCGCTCTCGCGCCGCCCTCACGCGTGCGGCGACGCCGCCATCGCCCCTCCGTGAGCCCGGGAGTGCGTGGACCAGCAGGTAAGGCTGTGGCGGGTGGGACTCTGGGGCACAGCGGTGGCCCGGGGGCGTGCACCGTTCGCGGGGTAAAATTCTTTTTTGAGCGGAAGCTAGCTAGGGGTACGTTTTATTCATCACTAGCGCCAGGTACTTCAAAAGAACTCGGGAAAAACAAGCTAGGACACCCCGGCTCGGCGGCAATGGCGCTGTCCTCGGCCCAACGGCGGGAGGCGGCACACCCGCCATGGTGTTCCTGGTGGCAGCCCCATCATGTGGCCCGTGTCCTCAAAGATGACAGCCCACTTTGCCCCGTCATCTACGGAGTTCCAGCCAGACACGACGGAGCCCGCACGCCAATACATTCCATCCGTGCCATTGAAGCTGACCTCCACCCGCATGCCCAGCTTGCAGTGCATCCGCCGTGTGCTGTCCCGCAGCCGTGAATTGGAGGCTGGAACAACCTCAAGGTCAGTCGGGCATGCAGAGGGTGAAGGAAGCTCACGTGGGAGCTCACGTGGACACGCAGCCTCCTCCTGCTCCTCCTGTGAAGAGGAGCCAAGTGCCCAGGATGATGTATGTGGGTAGCGTGACTTGTTGTATGCAAGTACATCATGTGCTGGGCTACCCTCCTCAATGCCCTTGGCAGCAGCACGAAAGATCCGATGTGTCACCCCTTCCTGCAGGAAGGCTGTACAGCCAAGAAGGCCCGCATTGAAAGTTGCAGCATCCTCTAGGTACTTGAAGCCTTGACAGTGACGAGCATACCTGGATGTGAGGAGACCCCAGTTAGTGTGTGCATGTGTGTGTGTGCGTGCGTGCGTGCGTGCGTGCGTGTGTGTGTGTGTGTGTGTGTGTGTGCGTGCGTGCGTGCGTGTGTGTGTGTGTGTGTGTGTGTGTGTGTGTGTGTGTGTGTGTGTGTGTGTGTGTGTGTTTTGTGACGTGCTCCGACTGTTAGAGGTGTGTGTGTGCGTGTGTGTGGGTGGTGTTTTGTGACGTGCTCCACCAGTTTCTCCATGACCCAAGCCTGTCGAAGGTTTGCCTCCTTGTTGGCAGCAGATGCCAAGGGCTGGAGCTGGGTGGCAAGCTTCACCAAGGGAGAGAAGGCAATGCAGCAGTGGGTAAACTGCGGCCAGTAGAACATCTCGAGTCCATGCCGGAGCAGCATCTGCACGTGCCCATCCTCTGCAACCCACCTGCCCAGATCAATCTCCTCACCCTGCTGGAGGAGGTCAAGCAGCAGAGGTGGTGCAATAAAGAGGAGTGGGCATGGGATGCCATGGTTGTTTGAGTCAGGGTGGCTGAGGGCAGTCTTGTTGCCCCACGCAAAGATCAGCGCGGCGTATGCACCAATCATCTTATCACGCAGGTGCCTCATGTGTGCATAAGCTGTGAGCAAATTTGCTTGAAAGGCATCAAGCCGTGCCCATTCTCCTGGCAAGGCCGCTCGCATTGAGTTCTCAAAGCCACCTGCGAGAGCTTTAGCACGTCCTCTCTCTGTTGCCAGCGCAGCAAAACGATCGTCCTCGGAGCAGTCATTCCCACATCGGCACCTCGTCGGGAGGAACTCTCCAATCATGCCTGGTTTGACATAGCAATTGTTCACACCAAAGGTCCCATAGTTGCCAGGCATTGACTTGTGGATCCCAGATCGCTGTGTATCTGGCTGGTGGGTGGCTGCAAACTTGGCTCGGCCGGTGACAGCCTCTGTGAGGACGGGTAAAGGGAGGCTGTTCCTGCATGGCTGGAAAAGGCTTGGGTGCACAATGCCGTCGTGGATGACCATGACAAGAGTTGGGCAATCATACCTCTCCGCAATCATGAGCGGCTCAGTGGGTTTATTGCGCCCAAGAACCACGACATCCACCTTTGTTCTCGTGTCGCAGGCCATGTCGAGGAGCAGCTGCTCAAAACGAGTGGAGATGCTCAGCTGGATGCAATGATCGATGATCTGGAGCAGTGTGCGTGGTGCCTGGTTGGACAGCAGGAATGACTCTTCAGGGGCATAGACGCTGCTGCTGCTCTCACGCATGTAGGGCAGGAGCTTCTTTGGCACTCGAAAGCCGCCCGACTCGGGCTGCTGTGCTGTGGGTGGTCGACTGCCGTCGCGTTCCGCGTGCTCGACTCGCAAGTCATGCCCGTCAGATACCCGATTACCGGCAGGATCCTGCCCACAGCCCGAAGGCCCCGAGTCAGTGGGTCGCTTCCTCTTGCGGCGTCGCCGCGCAACGTGATGCACCACTGCTGCCAGACCTGCGGAGGCCGTTGCACCGAGCAGGTATCCGCTGACTGTGGACAGGCTGGATGGGTCTGTTTCGACCATCGCAACCACAGCGCTCACAGCGAGCAGCAAGAGCACAAGGCGCAGGGCGCGGGCTTCCGTGGTGAACGCCATCGACTGACTCAGACTAGGACGTGCCAAACTTGACAACGGAGATAGCCAACGGCACAGTTGGGGAACTACAGTGGCCACTGTATGACGTGCCACTGTTTGGGGGTGGGAACACAGGGATACAGGAATACGGTGGACTATTTATCACGCTCCTCTGGCACAATGCGAAGCAAAAAATTACCGAAGCATCTGGGAAGGAGAGGAATGATGACAAACGAAAGGGAGGTGGCGTCAAATGCGCACCGCCAGCGAGCGAGGGCGTTGCTCACGCGCACGCCTCGCCGCACCGAGCGAGGCGGGTGGAGCTCGGCGCTGGCAGCAATGTACTGCGAGATAACGCTGGCTTGCGCTACGCCTGATGGCTTTGAGTCGGAGGCGGAGGAGGAGCCCGCGACGGCGACGGACGTGGCCATCGTGGCGGCAGGGATGTCCTTGACCCAGCTGAAGCTCACCGCGAAACCTGAAAAAAACTTTTCCGTCCTCCTGGTTGTCTGTGTGGTGGCGGCGTGCCGTCCTCCCATCCCTCCCTTGGGTTGGAGGTTTTCTTTATTTCTTCTTCGATAGTTCTTTTTAGTCTTTTTGGTTCGCATGGCTAGAGGTTGTCCTCCTACCTTGTGAATAAATAATCATGATCTGGCCCGAAGGAGCCGCTCGTCTCTTGTCCGAGGCAGCAAACGCGCGTCCGCTAGCGCCGTTGAGCACTAGACGGTCTATGCGCCCTCAAAGCCAAGTCTGAGACAATGGGTTCGCGCCTGATTCCAGCTTAGCCTGTACGCACGTTTCTGTCCCAGACCAGAATGAGGGCGTGTAGACCGTTGGTGCTTGATCATGAACGAGAGCTCTGGCTGGTGGTTCAGAAGAACAAAAGGGAGCATCCATCCAGGCAGGGACTTTGATATGCCGGCAGAGCAGAGGATGGCCCCTGTGTTTTGGTTTTGGGGGGGGGGGGGGAAAGAGAATTTTACTAATAGAGAAACGGTTCGAGCGGGGCTTTGGTTCTCCCTGCGGTCTTGGTTGCCTGCTCCGGCTCACCTATAGAGGATGGCGCGCCGATTTCAAAGGTTCCAACATGCTTGCTCGGCTGCTCTTCTGGCGTACGCGCCTCCGTCGGCGCTTTCAGTTCTACTGTGCCCCTAGGTTGCTCTCCGCTTCCTC